CCCTACAGATAAGGCACAACACTGGGTATCAAGAGATTTGATGTTTTCTGCCACTGTTTTACAAAGCAAGGCAGGATTATTCATGCCAGCAAGAAGTGTCAATACTAGTATCAAAGCAAGACTCCTAGTCTGGTGATTAACTGCACTGGAATTCACTTGTGCCAAGTGCTGACAAAAATTCAAGTAGGAATGCAACAGCTTTAACTTCACCATGGAAATCAAAAGTAGAGTTACATTTAAAATATAATAGAATTTATACTGCAATAGATACTGATTGCATAAGAAGCATATATTGGTTGAATTGAATATGAAATTAGTTTATTGGTTCTTCATAGGCTTTGATGGAAACACGTTAACTTTCCTAAAACAGATTAATCAAGTAATTTACATTCACACTAAGATACAGAAGCAGCTGTATCAACAAATTATCTCTACCTTTTTAACAGCTAAAAACCTTTATTTCCCAATACAACGCCATGCAGTGTATGCACCTACCCTAATGCAGAGCTTTATTGGGTTTGAGTGTCCTGCAGGAACGCAGGGTAGTTAATATTCACAAGGAACACCCTACAAAGATAATTCAGAAACTGTTTTTATTGCTGCAGAAATTAGAGGATCTGATGCCTTTCTTCATTTGCAGTAACCTTCTGTTTGTAAGCACAAGGAGCACTAGCAGAAAGTAAATGGTAAGAAAAATGTTGCAAAAACCTTCTTTAATTCCGTTCTTATTCGGTGCCGAATACAGCTCTGGGAATAGTGCAAGTTGGATCCATTTCCCATGAATTCCCTGGTTTTCAGAAGTTAAGCCAAAGCCTTCATACACTTCCTGGTAACATTTAATATTTTAATCTGAATGCATACAGTTTTCCTCACTTTTAGTTCTGTGGGTAAACTTTTGTGTAGGGAGGAGCAAAAAGTCAATGGAATTAAGTCCTGGGCTGATAAGGACAAAGGACAATATTTTTAGGGGGAAGACAAGCAGGGAACTGATTCTCAAGGGTAGTTGGGCTTCAGATGAGTCAGTATCACTTAATGGAAAGTATTTCTGAATATTTTAAATTAGCTAGCAATTGCAGTGTGACATTCAATTAGCACATATGCCCACATTAGCCCTTCAGATAGATGAGAAATCATTTTGATTAAGAAAGGATTGAAAATAAATTCTGATGCAGTTTTAAAAATAAACATATTACCATGGCTGTCATATTTCCCAGACGTGCTGCAAGAAGACACCTTCCAGTATTTTAGTTCAGCCTTACTAGCAGGTTTCCCAGATTTGTCTCATATCCACTGATTTAACAGCTATGGGGGTATGACTTCTTCCAAAGACAAATGGCCACCCTCTTGACTCTCCTCCTTTCAGCTAGCATTGCACCCCAGTCAAGGTGAGCTGTACTATTCCCAAGCTAACAAAGCCAACCGTGACGTGAAAGACGTTCTTCAACCAGAATGTGTCTAGCTAGATGATGGAGTCTGTGCCAGTTAGTGTCTCTGATTACTGAGCTGCTGGACCCTTCTCTGGTAGAGCATTTGGGGCTGTATTTATAAAGGCTTCATCAGCTATGCCTGAGATTAGGCTCAAGTCTGCTACAGCACATGACTTCAGCCACATGTACCCACACTGAATATATATACACAGAGAAAGAGGTTGAAATCAGACCCAACCCCTCTGCTCAAATTTTCTCTTCCTTGTTTGGTCCAAATTCAAGATACAATATGAATTAAGTGAATCAGCAAGGAGGCCACAGCTGGGGAGTCTGGGCTCAGTTAAAAGCT